CCATTCTCCTCTGTGCCACTGAGCTGCCAACCATAGCCTGACCACCCTGTCAGCCACAGCATGTTTTGGTTTATTTACTTTACTGACACTCACACTTCACATTTAACAGTTATGTTTAGTTCACCCTTTTTTATTTCTCAGGATCTAATGACAGAAATGCAGTATAAGATCCATAACTGTTTTCAGTGGTGTATAAAGACCTTACATAATGAACACTTATGTTTTTGTATCATAGTACCACTGAAGTTTAACAGTGTGTGACTCCCTCTAGTGGACGTTGTGGAGTATTCTGTTGTCTTTGCTCCAAAGGTTTTTGTACAGAGTTTTGGTGTTTCCTGTCACTGTGGGCTGCAGAGCACAGTAGTACACAGCAGAGTCAGACAGCTGAAGCTTCTGGATCTTTAGAGGAACTGATCTTGAGGTAGAATCCAGTGTGGATGAAAATCTCTCCTTGTACTCGTCCTCTGTTTTCCCCTCACCGATCTTAAAGCGGCTCAGTATGAATTCAGGGCTGTCTTTTCCATCCTGTTTGTACCAGAAGAGATAAAATGATTTGATGAACTGGTGTTATATAGACAGCCAAGTGTTACTGTCTCTCCTTCAGCAGCAGTCACGTCTCCTTCTGGTTGCAGCACGTTGTCTTTTTGTGCTCTGCATTCTGTAAAACAGCAACAAACAGTATCAGTGTGCTGTTAAACAATCATGTCAATGTTGGATTGATATCAGAGAACCAGAGTTGTGTTCATACCAAGGCACACAGCAGCCAGCAACACTGAGATGAACAGAGGCGTCATATCTGCAGTGTTGCGGAACTGTGAGCTCCAGCAAGTATAAAGAAGGCTGTGATCTCTCTGTTTAGTCTTCATCAACACTAAGTTGGTGGATTAGAAGGAGGAGCCTGATCACAGTGACGGGGCTCATTCACACAGCTGCTGGTGCCAATGGAGTTGTTGTGGAAGTAGCCAGTTTTTAACTTGATAAAATCTTAGGCTGTTAGTATGTAATTTTCATGTCTGAAAATATAAACTACATGTGATTTTAACAGTTTTATTAGTGCTTTAGTTTCTATCTGGGGAGTATCTCAACATTTTGAGCAACGGAAACAGCTCACTGTGACCTAATGACCCACAGGGTACGAAGAGGATTTAGTGAGTCGGTGTCCATTCATTTGTTTCATGGAGTCTTGTGTTTAAAGCATTCTGCAGGTGGTTTCTCACTGAGGATTTGCTGCTCATGTGAATCCTCCCAGAATATTTCATTAGCAGCTGTAACCTCAGTGACTCTGATAAAACAGGAATTAGCAGAATCCATCTGATATGAAGCTGTGGTTTGAATACCACTTCCCTCCTCTTTGAAGAGTAGTCAGATATCTGGGTTCAGGTTTTTGTACAGCCTCTACACTTTGTATCACTGTTTCTAGAGCACAGTAGTAGAGAGCTGTGTCAGCCAGGGTTAGCTTTCTGATGGTCAGCTCAGTTGATGTTGATGTTTCAGATCCATATCTTCTATCAGGAATATGTTCATCTGTGTTTGATTTTTGCTCCTTTCCAGAGTATAAATTGAGGTGCCTGAAGGTCAGAATGTCTGTACCAGTAAAGCCAAATATTAGTAGCAGCTGTCTGATAGTTACATGTGAGTGTGACAGATTGTTCTTCTTTCACTGACTTCCTCTTGTACAGGAGAGATTGTGTCTCCAGCTATTAGTCCTGGAAAAAGTAGAGCAAATGAAGCCATTAGACTAACATTGTTCATGAGGCTGAGAGGAGAAGACAGTGGAAAACGGCAGCTGTACAGTGTTACTCTGTGGACACAAACACTCCAACACTCACCTATGAAGTGAGAGCAAAGTAAAAAGAGGTAAAGCAACATGTCTTTGGAGTTGTTAAAGCCAGACAGACAGCAGATGAGCAATGTTCTTCCACTGCAGTAGAATGAAGAAACTAAACAGCCTCTCTGCTGCACAGCCCTTCTCCTCAACATCAAGCTGATTGTGCTTTTAGTTCCTCAAACATTTCTGCTCTGGAGACAGAAAGAATCTCATTGGTTTAATTCAGCTTTATTAGGCGTCGTTATAAATTCCCTTTTTTGAGGCCCACAGATTGTAACGATCCGTCATAATGACGGCATGTAAATTTAATTAATCCACTGCCGGGTTTTTTTCTCGGTGAAGACGCATTGGGATGACGTATGAAAAGAGCGTTTTCCCTACCAGCATGTGTGTAGTGGCGTCTGGACCATGGCGGCTGTGGCGGATGGCGTATAGCCTACTCAGTGTCTACGGACGGAGTTGCACCGTGTCATTGTAGACCACACACAGCGGTAGACTGTTTGAAGACGGCGTAGCTAGTTGCGTTGGGACTTTGATCTCGAGGAATTGCTGGGTCGGCAGCAGCATTTTGGACTAACTGCAGGCGCTGAATAGATGACTTGTCCAAGCCCACATATAAGGAGTTGCAATAGTCAAGGCGGGAAGTTATGAAGGCATTAATCACCCTCTCCAAATCTTTAGGAGGGAGATAGGCCTTTACCTTGGCTATAGTTGTCAACTGGAAAAAGTAGGATCTAATGGCGGATATCTGTTTATCAAATTTAAATGCACTATCCAATACAACACAGACTCCTCACAGTTGAGCGGCTGTTTGAAGTTAAAGGGCCAAGAGAATCAAGCAGTTCAGGGTGTCCAAACACTATGATCTCTGTCTTGTCTCTGTTTAGGTTTAGGAAGTTTAGATTCATCTATGTTTTGATGTCCTTCATACAGTCAAGCAAGGCGCTGCAGTGAGCCCTTTGTTTTTACATTCAGGGGCAGATAAATTTGAATATCGTCTGCAAAACAGTGGAAAGAGACCTCATAGCTCTCAAAAATGGAGGCCAGGGGCAACATATACAAAGAAAATAAGATGGGGCCTAAGGCAGAACCTTGAGGGACACCACAAGTAAATGGGGCTGTGTCAGAAGAATAATCACCGAGGTGGACAGAGAAGCTCCTAAGTGCAGTACCTTTTGATTCCCACACAATTTTCCAACCGTGACGAGAGGATTGAGTGGTCAACAGTGTCAAAGGCAGCCATGAGGTCTAAGAGCACTAGGACGGCAGAGACTCCTGAGTCAGTTAAAATCAAGTCATTAAAACTCTTAAAAGTGCTGTTTCAGTGCTGTGACAGGGTTTGAAGCCGGACTGGAACTTTTTATAAACATTATTATCAATTAAATGTTTGCAGCTGGGTAAAAACTACTTTCTCCAGGACTTTAGATAAGAAAGACAGTTTAGAGATGGGCCTGAGAGAACAGAAGGGTTGAGATCCTTTTTTAGCAGGTGCTGTACAACAGCATGTTTGAAGGCGGATGGAACATAACCAGAGACAAGGCAGGTATTTATCAATAACAAAATACATAGTCCAACAGTGTAAAAGACTCAATCAGACTCAAGCGAATGCTGTCTGAGGGACAATTTGTGGGCCGCAGATGATGGACCACCTCAGATAGGGAGGAGATTGATGTGGGCTCAAACTGCTCTAGGACCGCAAGGCACATAGTAGGGATCATGGTCAGAGGATGTGGTTACAGAATATCGGATAGCAAAAATCTGATCACAGAATATTAGGAAAGAGTCACAGAGGTCCAGTGTAGGTGCAATAGGAGCAGAGTTGCGGGGATTTGTAATGGTGTTAAACATATTAAAAAGAATCTGCGGCCTGTGACAGTTGTTGGCGACCAGCTTAGAAATAAAATCAGATTTTGCAGATTTTACAGCTCTCTGATAGTCAGATATTGCTGTAGGATTTCATGACACTCTGAGTTTATCTTTCTTCCCCCTTCTCTCAGCTTGCCAACATGCACGTCTGAGCGTACGGGTGGTGTCATTTAAGCAGGGCTCTGAAAGTGCTTTAGTGCGTTTCATCCTCCAAGGAGCTACAGAGTCCAAGATGTTTGTGCAGGTTGAAATGAAGAGTAATAAATTCATCAGCACCAGTAGCATCACCACCATCCAACTTATAGAGCACAGAGTCTTTGAAAGCAGCAGAGAACCGTGCCGGGGTAGTCTGGGTTGTTGGACAACCATGGGGGGATGCCTGCAGCGTGATGCCGACAGACGGCTTGCCTTACACACTGGCGCCATCTGATTACATTTAAGCTACTTCAATTATCTTGGTTGGGAGTTGCCCATGTGCAGTACCTAGTTAAGAGCTATTAGCAACACTTCTAATTAGAAGCAGAGCAGGGCTGGTTCGGTAACCATGGCTTCGGTTCAGCGGTACATGTTCCCAAACCAGCTTAGCAACCTAGACTGGACCAAGAGTTTCAGAGTGATAATTTTTTACTTGTGCTCTGTCTCTGCATCACACTAACAGCCTGTCCACTGACTGCCTGGAAGGTCTTTAACGTTGGGTAGGGAGGGTGGGGGTGAGCGGAGGCAGCTGGCGGACATCTTGTCACTGTGTTTCTCCACCATTGTGTTTCAGGGCGTGTCAACTAGCTGTCAGGTGAACATCATGCCACTCGTTACATAGTGACGCAGAGAGGTTACGGAATTAAAGGCTGGACTGCAATCCAGCTGTTTTCAGGTCAGGAGCAATGTTTTCTGTGGGGGATGTGAACTCCTTTTGCGTTGGACTTGGGCTTTTTCACTTTGCAAACCTTTTACATGCACAATAATAAAATATAGATAACACAATAAAGGAAAGCGGAAAAGCCAAAAAGCAGAATATGACCTCTTCAAGGTCATCTTAAAGGTGACCAAGTTGACACCCAATGAAGAATGTTGTCACTGAACATAATTATTAATAATGTTTTGTTATTTGTCTTTTGGAACAAACTGTCAGGTTCTTTGAACATTTTTAACTAAGTATGCAACAGCAGTGGAGAGAGAGAACAACCTTGTTGGGATCCTCTCAGTTGCACTTAAAGTGTGTGACTCCCTCTAGTGGACGTTGTGGAGTATTGTCTTTGCTCCAAAGGTTTTTGTACAGAGTTTTGGTGTTTCCTGTCACTGTGGGCCGCAGAGCACAGTAGTACACAGCAGAGTCAGACAGCTGAAGCTTCTGGATCTTCAGAGGAACTGACTTATTCTTGATTGTAGCATTAAATCTTTCTTTCATGAGTTCTTCAGCAAAATCGACTGTTTTTGAGTAACATCTCAGCATATACTTTGGTGACTCATTTACTTTTTGTTGGTACCAGAAGAGATATGGAACTGGGTCACTGGTCTCAAAAGTACAGTCAAGTGTAACTGTGTCTCCTTCAGCAGCAATGACATCTCCTGCTGGCTGGGTCACTCTGTCTTCTCCTTTACACTCTGGGGAAGAAGAGAACATGCAGAGGAAGAGATGGATCAATAAAGATGATTGATTAAAGGAGAACAATCAGTAGGTTTAAAGAGTTACCTAGCCAGAGAGTCAGAATCAGGATGTTTCTCAGCCAGTGGTTCATGTCTGCAGTGAGAGGGGAGGAGAGAGAGGAAGAACATTGATACTCTGATGGATCTGGGCCTTCACATCATTGGCCCTTCCTCTTCATCATCTGTTGTCTTTTCTGTCCTTGAGTCCCAGTTTTGCTCCTCCCTTAATCCCTCCCTCCTTCCTCTCACAACTCTGACAAATAGTGAGTTTGTCTCTGCTGTGATGCTGTTATTCACTAAATGACATCATTTCCATCAGGTAACAAGTAGCTGATAAGCTAACACTGACTGACTCTTGACAGAACAATCTTTATGCAGACATTACTATTACTAGTGCTAGCAGTTTTAATATCCACACTGATGATTCAACAAACTGATTTAATGTAGTCCAGCATGTTTCTGGCCCAACTCATAACCATGGCCACACATTAGATATAGTCTTTCCCTTTGTCTGAGTATCTCTTCTGTGGTCTTGTCTCTGATCATGTTTGTATTAAGTTTGACATTGTACATGCTGCCCCAAAACATCATAGCAGAATTATTAGTGCCTTAACAATCTCTGTCAAACTACTTTAGACTCCACTGCTCTCATTAATCTCAGATCAAAGTTGCCTCTTAAACTTTTCCTTGTATTGAAAATAGCATCAGGAGTCTTAAAAGATTGAACAGAAGAGCAGAATTAAGTTGGAAAAAGACTAAATTGCATGTCTGCTATTTGTATAAGACCTTCTGACTTCTTACAATAAAGAAATGAGAGACACCAGAGCCAACTGCTTTTCTAACCTAATAACCGGTAACAAGCGTGATCCTAGATTCCTGTTTAGACATACTTTTTGCTTAGACAGACTTATCAACCCTGCTCCCCCTGCCTTACCACTCTCTTCAAATGCTGACTGTGAGATGTTTTTATGATCTTTTTCTAAGCAAAAAGTCACTTACATTAGGTCTAACAGCTACTACCACTGTTGTTGCTGATATTTCTGATAACCCTGGCTGTCCTGAACTGCTCAGCCATTTTCAGTTAATTTCTCTTCCTGAGCTCATCGATACTGTCTCTCACACACTTTCCTCTTCAAGCCCTCTTGACATCTTAACCACCTCACTCCTGTAAAAGGTGATGGGTGACATTGGCTCTAGCTTACATCACATTATTAATTGTTCCATTACTTTCTGCCGCATCATAATTATTTTAAGCAAGCCAGCATTCAGCCTCTAATAAAAATCCTAACCTTGATTGATCGCTTCCACAGAATTATAGGCCCATTTCTAAGCTTGCTTTCATATCCAAAGTTATTGAAAAGGTGGTGCTAACTCAATTCTTAGCTGTGTTAGGTCATAATAGCATTTTTGATGGGTTTCACAAACAACACTCATTAGGGTTAAATACGAAAGACTGATGTGTGCTCATGCTGGGAACATTCTGTTTTATTGCTCCTCAGCTTCAGTGCCGAGTTTGACACTGTCAGTCAAATAGAGAATTTTCTGTCTTCATCGTTAATTATGTTTCATCTTCCCCTCTGCAGATGTGCAGGGCGCCATAAGGATCTAGTCATTGTCCAGTGTTGTTTTCCCTTTGGATGCATCCATTAGGAAACATTATCATTATCGTGTTTAAAGGTGAAGTGCGTAAGATTTAGTAGCATCTAGCAGTAAGGTTTCCAGATGTCTAGTCTACTATAGAAATAGCTCATTCTAAAAAAACAGAACCGATCATTAGGTCTTTATACACCACTGAGAACATAGTTAAGGATCTTTGATTGCATTTCTGTCAATAGATCCTTAGAAATATCACACACTGGACCTTCGATCTTCTATCACTGCTATTCTGATAATACAGGGATCTACTTTTCTCTTTATCTAACGTTGGCTGTCTGGGCAGTTTAATAAAGGGCTTGACTGCTGTTGTGGATAATTTATTACTTACTGTAGCTAAACTCAGACAAGACAGAAGTAATAATCGTTGGCCCTGATCACCTTACAACCATATTGGTCCACTGACAACCAATTTAAAATCTCCATCCAGAAATGTAGGTGTCAAATTTGACCTTCAAACCACATGTCAATAATCTCAATAAATCCTGCTTCGTCCATCTAAGCAATCAAACCATTATTCGGTGTGACCACCCTTAGCCTTCAATACAGCTTCAACTCTTCTAGGTGCATCTCATTCTTGTACCACTCTCCAGCCCTTCGGTGCACAAACTGCGTTCTGCTGCAGCCAAATATTTCACATGTTGACATGTAGTAATAGTAATAATAATAATAATAATAATAATCTTTATTTACAGAGCACTTACAAAGTGCTTTACAAAAAGCAGTTATGACATAAAAACATATAAAACAATACAAGAAACAAAAGTCACTTCAAATTGTACTAAAATCAGGTAAAATCAGCGAATGCTCTACGATACAAGTAAGTTTTTAATAAGGAATTTAAAAGAGTTTACTGATTCAGCCGACCTAATTTCCTCGTGTAGATTGTTCCAGAGCCTCGGTGCCCTAACTGCAAAGTCTCTGTCCCCTCTCAGTTTCAGCCGGGTCTCTGGGACCACAAAAAGCCCCTTACTTGAGGATCTCAAGTTACGAGCTGGTATATAAGGTACTAGTAGGTCAGCAATATAGCAAGGGGCGAGACCATGTAAAGCCTTAAATGTAATCAGTAAAATCTTAAAATCAATTCTTAAACATACTGGGAGCCAGTGTAACGAAGCCAAAACAGGAGTGATATGACGTTTCTTGGTTCTAGTTAAAAGCCTGGCAGCTGAATTCTGGACATACTGTAGCCGGACAATAGATTTTTGATTCAGGCAGGAAAAGAGGCTGTTACAATAGTCCAAACGTGAAGAAATAAAAGCATGTAAAATGGTCTCAGTATCTTTAAAAGTTAAAAAAGGTCGGATTTTAGAAATGTTTCTAAGATGATAAAAACATGATTGCATCAGCTTTGTGGTGTGCTGGTCAAAACACAAATCACTGTCAAACCTGACACCAAGATTCCTTGCCACTGGCTTGATTTGGTCTGATAAACCAAGGCAATCTGTGAATGGCACAATATGTTGTCAAATGCTTGGGGCCAGTGACGAGGATCTCTGTTTTATTGGAGTTTAATTGAAGGAAATTATCGGACATCCAGTTTATTAACTCACTAAGGCAGTCCTTCAATGAAGTTAACATTTCAGGATCCATGTGTTTAATGGGCAGGTACAACTCTGTATCATCTGCATAAAAGTGGAAAGAGATACCATGTCTTTGAATAATGTGCCCTAAAGGAAGCATATATAATGAAAATAAAATTGGTCCCAAGACTGACCCCTGCGGCACCCCATACTTAACAGTAGTGTATGAGGACCCAGCGCCTCATTCTCTCCAAGAGGATACTATGGTCAACTGTGTCAAACGCAGCACTAAGATCTAAGAGTACAGAGCACATTCCAGTATCTGCAGCCATCAAAAGATCATTGGTAACTTTGAGAAATGTTGTTTCAGTGCCATGGTATTTCCTGAAGCCTGATTGAAACTTCAATGGAGGAACTCTCAACATTTACATCTCATTTACATCTCAGCTGTTTAGCTGATGCTCTTATCCAGAGCAGCTCATAATGAGGAGCTTTAACGTGAACTTTCTGTTACAACAAAGTCTCTTTAACCACTTTTCACCCTGGTAGAATTATGAAATCATCATCATCAGTCTGGAATCCTTTTTATTTATCTCATCAGAGTTTGTAAGGACTTCCTGGTGCCTCACAGAAAACAGACATCCAACATAAAATACACCATGAACTGGATTAGTTGTCTTATTAATAACAGGATTTATTGTTACTTGAGTAATATTGTAACTTGTTATTAGATTGTGTTGTCAGTGTCCACTTGTTGGCGCTGTTGTTCAGTAAAAGGAGGAGCTGAAGTGTGTAAATCTTCAGAGGATCTGTGGTCCCATTTCACCCCAATTCTCACCTCCATTCATTGGTTTCCAGTTAATAACTTTTATAGAGGTTTTGACTCCCTATGCTCCAAGTTGTGACCTGACATCCTGTGACCTACCCTCGCTAGACCTCAGGTCAGGGCTTCTGAAAGGGTGACCAGACTTATATATATGTGTATATATATGTGTATATATGTGTGTGTGTATATATGTGTGTGTATATATATATGTGTGTATATATATATATGTGTGTATATATATGTGTATATATATGTGTGTATATATATATGTGTATATATATATATGTGTGTATATATATATATGTGTATATATATATATGTGTATATATATGTGTATATATATATGTGTATATATATATATGTGTGTGTATATATGTGTGTGTGTATATATGTGTGTGTGTATATATGTGTGTATATATATGTATATATGTGTATATATATATGTGTGTATATGTGTGTATATATATGTGTGTATATGTGTGTATATATATATATATATGTGTATATATGTGTGTGTATATATATATATATATATGTGTGTGTGTATATATATATATATATGTGTATATGTGTGTATATATATATGTGTGTATGTGTGTATATATATATGTGTATGTGTGTATATATATATGTGTATGTATGTGTACATATATATATATGTATGTATATGTATGTGTGTATGTATGTGTATATATATATATGTATGTATATGTATGTATATATGTTTGAGTATGTATGAGGAAAGCTTTTTCTGTAGATGCCTGATTTGTAACTTTGGTCGTGTTGTGTTATTTGTCTGGTTATTTATAATTTTCTTTGTTTATTCCTGTGTATTTTGAGAAGCACTTTGTAATCATGTGTAAATAATTACTATACAAATAAATAAAGGTATTATTATTTAATTCCACATGACAACCATATTATTTACTTTAAATACTTTACTTGCACAATTCTATTATAGTTGTCACATTTCAGGACAAATCAAAACATGAGACAAAATAAATAACCTATAAAACACATGTTCAGCTCCAGACAGGAAGATTGTTTGCATCTGTCAAATTCTCCCTCTATCATTTCATGCTTCATCACTTGGTCA